AGAGTGTCCAAATAATGGAGCTTTTACGAACATAGGTTATTCCAGTGAACAGTAATCTAATCATTAACTAGAAGACTGAGAGGCGATCTCATCAACATGTGTAAGTATCTGAAGGGAGGGTGTCGCGAGGATGAGGCCAATCTCTTCTCCGTGGTGCCCAGCGACAGGACAAGAGGCAACGGGCAGAAACTGAACCACAGGAAGTTCCATCTGAACCTGAGGAAAAGCTTCTTGGCTGTGAGGGTGCCAGAGCACTGGGACAGGTTGCCCAGAGAGGTAGTGGAGTTTCCTTCCCTGGAGATATTCAAAACCCGTGTGGATGTGATCCTGGGCAATATGCTCTAGGTGACCCTGCTGGAGCAGGGAGGTTGGACTAAATGATCTCCAGAGGTCCCTTCCAACCTCAACCATTCTGTGATTACAAATGTGTTATTTTTGTGAATTTATCTAGCTTTAGCTTCTAGCTAGTTTCAATTAAACCACTGATATAAAACGCATTTTGACAACAGAAATATTAATGTCAGAACAGATCAGTAAAGTAAGTAAATCTCTTTTCTGTGTCTAGATTGTTCAGTCATTGGTATTCCTGCTTCTTGCAACGCTCTTCAGTGCAGTGACCGGTCTCCCATGGAGTTTATATAACACATTTGTCATAGAAGAGAAACATGGCTTCAATCAACAGGTATTGTTGATAACACGTGTACTGACCTAACATCTTCAGTAATTTCATAGGTTAGGTGGACTATTGTGTCCATAGCTGTACCAGAAGTCATTATTTTGGGGAATGGTTTAACTCTCTCTACATAAAAATAAAAGCAATGATATGTTAAGCCTTTGATTTTGATTTATTTTTTCCTCTGTCACACATAAGAACCAATAGATTGGGCTGCCACTCCTTTTTGTTTCATCTGAAAGCTTTCTGTTCTATTTGACAAACTTGCGGTGTCTAATTTATTTCAGCAGCTCTTCTGTGATTATTGCAAAAGTCCGGTGCCACATCAGAATGTCTCTTGAGTGAGGTCATACCTCTAAGCAGCTTCTTTAGCGAAGAGGAGTGTGTATTCTAGTGGTGGAACTGAGGACGTTTCATACCTCAGTCGTTCATTGTTGGATGGGCTATTCTTTGCGCTTTATATATCCTTTCGGAGAAGCCTGGATAAATGTTCAGATAGTGACAGCAAAACTACTGCTTGACAGGGGCACTTCTGACTTCTAGACACTGAATAGATGAAACAATACTGAGAAATTATTTTCCTTCTCATTTTGTTTCATTCATTGATCTGCATTGTGGAATCAGCCTTCACTAAATTAGAATATTCATCTTTTCATTTGCACTTCCTTTAGTTCCTTTATATTGTAATATTAGTGCTAGCTTTCTCAATTTCTGACACCTACTTCGTTTAATTTGTTTCATTATCAGTATCAGTTTTCCTAGAGAACAGATTTTCCTGTTGAGAGAGAAACCTCAGTCTAGGACATATCACCATTTCATATAGGCATTAGGCTTATTTTCTTCTTTTGGACCCAGCTAGTGTTGTCTACAGTGCTTTCTGTTGCAAGTCTGTTGGAACGCTTTGTTTACAGTGAAATGACATTTGGGTGGGAGTGCAGCACATGCGAGATCAAATTGTTTGACTCATTATTAAGAGCACTCTGGCATTTGCCAATTTCATTTTCCAGTTTCCAAAGAGGCAAGAGGACTGAGCTAGCTCTGAACAAGCTGAATTTGTCTCTAAACTCATTATATTCCTGGCAAAATGATAATTTGATGTTTCTTACTCCTGTTAAAAAACAAGTAAGAAAATAAGTAAGGAAAAAGGCTCTAAAAATGCAATGATCCAATTTCCAGCCCTTCTCAATCATCTTTGAAACAGAAGTGCACAGATCCTCACACATCCTAATTTTTTTTTTTTTTTTTTGGTTCGCCTCAGTTATATGGTGGCACTCGCCACCTGAACACCATTCCCCCATACTCCCCCATGGAAACCCAGCGTTGAAAATTCTCACTACACCATTTTGCCATGACATCTTTGTGTATTCTCTGAAATTGCAAAGTTTGGAGTTATTTTTCTGATCTTTGAATACCGTGCCAATGGTGGCTGCTGTTAAAGGCTTTGGGAACGTGGCCAGCAAATCTGAAGATTGTTCCAGTTAGTCATAAACCTTGAGCTTGTGACCAACTCAGAATTTTGTTTAGATTCCATTTAGCTGTCGGGTCTTAGGAAAACCTTGTTCTTCTAAAAACATGCATTTGTCTGATTTCTAACAGTCATTTCTTTTTCTCATACTAGCTAGCAAATACTCTTCTTTGAGTAATTATGCACGTTTGTATGCTAGGTGATTCTGAGTCATAGTGCTTTGCTTCTCTTCCCTTCTGCAGTCTTAACAGTGCACATGATGGCAGGCTAACCTCCTGCTCCCATCAAGGGAGGAAGGAATGTTTCCAGAGCATGAGTCAAGCATTCTTTTCTTCTGGCAGTGGTCAATATCTAACTAAAATACCTACTTCATGTATGTTGTTTGTTCTTTGTCTATTGCTATCTTCTGTAATTCTCAGCGTAAGGGCTGGCGAAGTCCTAATTCGTGTAATATGTTTATGGCCTGGCCTGGCCTGTACATCTTTTGAACATTCAGAAACCTTAAACATGTGTCAAAAGCTATCTTGGATTATTTCCCTGTGTGTCAATTCTGTGTACTAGTATTAGCTCTGCACCTTGATTTGTCTCTCCTGACTCAGTGAGGACTAAATTTCATCTTTGTGCCAGATCAACAAGCTCCACATGTCAAGGACACAAAAGTCCGAAGAATGCTGTCAGGACTCTTAAAGCATTAGAGAGGGACCAGACTAGCAGACCAGCTGGTGCTGCTCCCTGTCTCACTGCTAGAATGAACCTCTGTTTCCTGTTTTGAACTCCATCAGTGATTTTTCCTAGCACTGCACTAGCAGAAGCATACTATGTTTTTACTTTATCTTTTAGTATGTTCATCTACACAGCCTCCTAGTTCTATTTAGACTCCAGTAAGAGTCAGGTTATGTTGTCATTTAATGTTTCCTACATGGCTGGAAAGAGTTTGACTTGAATATCTGTGAACCCTTTAAGGTACCGGGTGAGCTCAGAGCTCTGATCAGGCCCTATGTCTGTGCACAGGAACTAGAGAGTCAGATATTGAACTAGCAGCTCAGGCTTCTTTAAGACTGTTTTGAGAGCCTGCAGAGGCCTTGCTCTGCGGAGGGTAAGGAAGATTGTGGGGATATCCTCTGAATATTTGCTCCTTGGAGCAGTCAGAACCTGGATGCTTGACTATTGTCAATGCAAGCACTGTGCCTTATCAACAGAGAAAAGGAAGACTTGACACTGAAGCTCCTGTGTGATATTAAGGGCTTGATTGAGCTATCTGCTCATTCTTTCTGGAGAGAAGGATATATGTCAAACACAATATAAGGGTTTGGGCCAGATCTTAGTAATGTAAAGAGCGCGTTTATATGGACTTGGAATCCCAGTGGATGAAAGAACAACAGCTATCAGGATGTGAAAAGGTTCTTCTGCCTTTTTTTGTAACCAGCTCTGCTTTTCTGTAGCACACATCAGCATTGCTACTTTGTGTTTTTTGATTTGTCTTATTTTGTTTCTGTGCATCTGATGAAGGGATCAGTTCATTAACCACTGTGACTCATTAACATTTACAGTGTAAATATCACTAATATCCTTTTCTTGCAGACACTGGGATTTTTTTTTAAGGATGCCATCAAGAAGTTTATTGTGACTCAGTGTATTCTGTTGCCGGTTACATCCCTCCTGCTTTACATTATTAAAATAGGGGGAGACTACTTCTTCATCTATGCCTGGCTCTTCACATTAGTTGTTTCCTTGGTGAGTAAGAGAATACATTTGTGTTGCTTCCAAATGGTAGCTTACTTGCAGGGTGCCGTGTGCTGAGCTTTAAAAAAAATAACAGAAAGAAAATCAGTGAAAAATCTAAATCTCCTTGGAATGTTAGGGTTTTCAGTCTTTAACAGTGTGTTTTATTTTCAATGTACTTATCCAGGAATAACAACTCATATTAAGTGTCCCCATTAATGAGATATCTTATATTTTATCTATTTAATACCAAACTGTCTTTATCAATTAAAAAATAAGCATTCAAAAAGCTTTATAATAGACCCTGGAAATACAATGGTATGTGGTGATAGGTTTTCTTTTTTTGTAAATATAGAAAGAGAACCAAGACAGACACAAGCAATTAAACAAGATAAGGCAGAATGTGCTTTGGTCAGTAATGTTTTCACTGGGATTGTCTTATAAGTAACCAAACATCAGTTCTCGGTTGCATTGCATTGTATCGAGACGAATAGCAATTTTCCATTTCTGGATCTGCTTATGTTGCTGCTTTTATATCCTGAATTGGTAACTGATATTTTTAGGGCTTATATTAGAAGAATCTTTTTGTATCCCTCACAAGGATTTGATGTGTTCCGTGGTTATTATGAGCTCTGAGGTCCATATTTTTCTTGTAGTTTAGCATAGTGCTATATTGTCCTCTTTTGCTCAATATACTAACTGTGGCACACCCAAGGAAGAAATTACAGAAGTACTGTTGTGTATATTCATTAATTTTCAGACTAAAAAAATTAACACTTAATGTAATATAATGAAGCTTGCCATGTTGGCCTAATAGTAAAATCAGGTCAATCTCTAAATCCTACATCAAGTTAAACGTTTCTCATTGAACTGGAGTGAATCGTCAGGAAAATTTTTAGGAGTACCTGGACTGGAAACCATGATTGTTTTCTCTCTCAAACTCGTCTTTAATGAACAAAGTAGATGTTGCCTTTTTTCTTTTTTTTCCCCCCTGCTTATAGATTCAGATCACTCCTATCTTCTTGGACTTCCTTCAATTTGTCAGCTTCCTTTCTAAAGTACAGGCATTGGCTGGCCACATACATCCAGTACTGTGATCATAAAACTGGGGTTTCAAGTAACGCAGGAAAATCTGATTTCCCACTTCTTATATGGCCAATAGCTGCTTTGATTTTCTCAGACATAGCAACATGCAAGAAATTGTGAGTCAGCTAGTTTAAATCATAACTGCAAAACCTTTTCATAATCATATTTTCTTGGGATACGTATATCGTTATCTGAAGGGTTACCTGTATTTATTGCTTCATAGATGCCTAACATGCAATTAAAGTAAATGTATGTGGATGAGTACATTTCTGTGTAGCCAAAAATCTCAGTGTAGTGCAGTTATCGGAGATGTGAGAGGAGGAGCCATTTTAAAGGGAGGTGGAGTGTTGCTGCTTAAAGAGCTAAGCACAGAACTGCCTGACTGTTTTATGTCAGTTTGTTTCTCAGGTCTTGTTCCTCACAAACCAGAATTTAAACCTTTTTTCCGCTAGTGCTTTTTTTGTGTGGTTGGTTGTTTTTTTTGTAGCCCTGCATACAGCTGGGAGAAGAATAAAACAGTAGGAATTTGAACAATCAGGAAAGCTGCTTCTGTCTCCTGGTTCAGTGGGCTCTGCTGCCCATTATGAAACACTTCTGAATTTTCCAGTATCTGTGAAGTGGGTGAGAGTAACAGTTTGTCACTGATAAAACCCACTGCTCTCCAGCTGTCATGGTGGCTTTGCTTTCCATGGTTGTTTGAGGAAATGTCCGAGCATAAGGTACTGTTTGCACTAATGGTGCTGAGGAATTATTGTAGGAGGAGTACCCCATCCTCTTCTCCCTATCTTGCTGTTGAATTACTGACTGTCACCAAACCAAGTAGTTGTCTTTGTAGATGGGATGGCCTTTGAAGAGCCTTGCTATAGAGCATGCTTAATACAGGAGTCTGTTTATAAGCTTCTTTTTTCTAAATTTGCTCTCTTCTTGCCCTCTTTTTGTACTTGCCCACGTTTCACTTCTAGTACTAAACACACATTTTTATGCCCTATTTTCAATATCTGTATGTATTTGCAGGTGCTTGTTACAATCTATGCAGACTACATTGCCCCTTTGTTTGATAAATTCATTCCGCTTCCTGAGGGAGAGCTCAAGCAAGAAATTGAAACAATGGCAAAGAGCATTGACTTCCCATTGACCAAGGTGTATGTGGTTGAAGGTGAGATTTTTGAATAAAAAGACTTTTTAATTTTGAGTCCTTGGTTTTTTAGCTGTAATTGTGGGTGCTGCAGAAGAGTTGCTTACGTTCTCCAGCTGTTGTAGTACTTGTCAAGGTACATGTGATTTTCCTTTTTTTTTTTTTTTTGCCTTGGGGTCGGAAAGGTGACGTTGAACATACAGCCTTAACTGAGCATTGTATTGGAAGCATTGTCTTGGCTCTGTTGAGCAGAAATACATAGCACAGTCAGAAATGAAAGCAGCTGTCCTAGATTCCAATTTTAGAACTTTAAACCAAAAAAATATTTTTACCTTTTCTAGTCTTTGTTCAGCATTAATTGCCTCAAACTCTTTAATGAAGCCATTAGAAAGTTATGAATGTTAAAGCTGCCTGCTCCTTCTTAGTGCTCATGTGGACCGTTTCTCATTGTGTGGCTGGATGGACCCAGCCCCTCTGCTTGGGAATGTAAGTTTTTTCATTATGAAGTACTGCATTTCCTCACACTTAGCTCATGGTACCTATTGTGGAATATGAAAGCTACTGTTTCACTTTTTCTCCACTTCTGTGTTCTTGGAGCACTCTCCTTTTTGACATTTCCACTGCTACTGATTTTGTTCCCTTCTGTACTTGATTTCAAGGACCTCTGCCTTCCCCCCCCCCCCCCCTTCTGTTTTTTT